AAACTGCACGGTGCTGCCATAAATTTCGCAACCCCTTCGAGTGATTGGGATAGGACTGCATCTCTATTCGGTGGGTGGGGGTAAATGGGGGTAAAGGAAAACTTCCATTATATTATCCTTTACAGCATTTGTCAAACGTAAGGGAACCCTATAGATGGTGGATATGAAGCGTAAAAGCATTTTGCAAGCGTTTGGGAGATGTTTTTTCAAAATGCAAAACGAGCAGAAGCATCAAGGATCCGAACCTCCGCGACCGTCCTGAGAGTCCGCCACCCTACCAACTGCTCCATCCCCGCACATTCGGTCTTGTTTTCGGTTGGCTTATATAGGCATCTCGGGGCGTTTAACACAGGAGAGGAAATGGTCCCATAACTCTGACCCCAGATTTGGAAAGCGGATTTGAGATACTCACCTGGAGACACATTCGCCCGTATACATCTCATCTCAGATGGCCACTGCGACCTAGTATCCTTCCCTTGTTAGTTCACTCAAAAGTCTTCTCATGATGGAGATACGCCCTACATGAGAGGATCTTTCCTAATGAAGTTATGATGACTGTATGTAGAGCTTCCACCTATATCAGTAGTACCCAAAAATGGATTTCGTCAAAGGTCGTTTGTTGGGACCGGAAGGTCCCTGCAAAAAGACTACATTGAACGATTACATGGTATCATTGGAAATGTACAGGAGTATGTTCTAAGTTCTGGTGCCTCTTATACAATGTATGGAAGGTGTTCAGAGCGCTACTAACATATAACTTTGCTGGCATGTGGTATCGCAACCTTTTTCTGGAAAAAACTGATTGCATGATTTACCCGTATTGTAGCTGTTCTGTTCCTATATTTTTTCTCAGTAGTTGTGGTAGCCGTTCCAAGAATAGGCGTGGTCGCTTCAGAGGTAGCTAATACTGTTGTTATAGCGGCGCTAGTTGTTATTACTGTTGTAGTTGGCGGTGGCGAAGTCGATGACGTGGCTCTATTGAAAAAAAAAGATTTGGAAGTTTCACTTTTTGGTATAACTTAATTTACTAAATAGATGGAAACTTATGTACAGCCATGCTGCATAAACTTTTGCTGCTTTAGCATTATCTGAAATGTAAAGTCCTTACGTGACGCGAAATATTCAGGAGCCCCCAAATGTTGTTATGATTACTTGAAGTTTGAAATTATGCTAAACAAAATCCGAGCGAAACGAATTATCAGATTTAGTTCATAAAATTTAAAGTTGACCATATATGAAGAATGTTTTTTTTNNTTTTTTTTTGAAAGCAGTTATCAACTATCGAAGCTATTCGTTGGGATTATGCCCTAAGAAAAGCTCTCGTTGATGTTGGCGTTCAGTTTAATAACCCCCTAGGTAAGGAGGTCCTCACCTATCCAGAAGGTTATTAAACCAAGGAGCGCACATTGACCAACTACTAATAATCAGACAATTTCCAAATCACTTCGTCTAGAAAAGCTGTGGTGGGCCAGTGAAAAAGGTCAAATTGCAGTAGAGTAACTGATCCTGGCCGATGCAACTGCCCGTAGAAGTTTTCTCAGACCTTTTTTTATATTCACTTAAATCGGCATTCTTTTTGGAGGTATCCAGGCATTCTACTAACAGGACTCTCCTCTGAACTTGCTCTGGCATATTGGCTTTTTGCTTTCTCTCTTTGTGTTGAAGACTTCAGTTGTTTCAACATCAAAGAGAACCACACTACCTGAAGATGGGATTGTATGGTGTTGAATTTTGTACCCGAACGTCTAACCGCGTGCTGGGAGAGTAAGACTTTAATTCCAAGTGGTTGATTATGGGAACTTCCGCGAAATCGCTACCAAGCACCTGAGCTATAGGAATTCGGGTACACCCAGGGTTGTGAGGGTGGCGAACTACGCCCTATGTATGTGTTCGCTTCTAGCTCACCTCAGCTCAGCTCACGCCGAACCTTCTAGGTGACCGCCACATTTATATACAATCACTTTCATTTTATTATGAATATATTGACAGAGTAGTGACTAGAGGACTAGAGGACCTAAGGGGTCATTGATGACCTTCACATCTACACACATACATATATGTACATACAGAGAGATGAACCCGTAACTTGCATACCTAATTCTTCATCGAATCGTCGAAAAACAAATCTTTCTTTCGGACCTGCCTTATTCAGATAGTCCTGTGAAAAAAAACCCATTTCTTAATATCTAGTATAACTTTCGTTTCATAACCCAAGATATAGTATGCTATGTATTTAATTATACGAAGGAAAGTCTTTGTTATTTGTCCAATGGGCCCATATTTTCAGAAGGAGGTCCTGCGTTTGCTCGTATTCTTAGTATGATAAGCTGTTTCGAAACCTTGAGGAACCTTGATCTTTATAAAAACTAATATATTTAGGACCCTGCTCTTACAGTAACCCTACAATGAAACAGAATGCAGCGGATGAAGAGCCACCAATTTATGCCATACCTTGGTGTTTCATTGGGAGAGCAAGTTTGACATTCACCTGGCTCACGCAAGCTTAGGCTCCTCGCTACCACGTGTTCGAGCCAAAATTCACAGCCGTGAATACCATGAAAACCATGTTTTCCCTACTCAGTTTTATGGATTCATGGATATTTNTTTAGGATTATATTAGGTGTGAGGAAAACTTTGCCGTTGCAAAGGCTCATATTCGAGGGCTCCTAACTCGAGTTACTGGGAACAGCTTCACTCAAAATAGGTCCCACTTGATTTTTGTTAAACTTTTTCAATGTTATGGCGGTCA